AGCGGGCGTTTTTTTTTGGCTTTTTTGTTTTTTTTTGGGGATAGGGGAGAGGAGAGAAAAGGGAGAAGGGAGAAGAGAAAAAAGAAAGAGGAGAGGGGAGAGGAGGGGGAGAGGAAAAAGATGAAGTGGTGGGGGATAGATGGAAAAGTGAAAGGGTGAAAGAATGAAAGAGTGAAAGGGGAGAAGGAAATGAGAAAGGGGAGGGAGTGAAAGGGAAGGGAAGTGGAAGGGGAAGGGAGGGAAGAGGATGTTGTAGATTATATTGTAAGGTTATAGGTTATAGGTTATAGGTATATTGATGGGATAGGAGGTGGATAGGAGGGAAGTAGGAGGATTAATAGCTGATGATATGGTATTATCAGAAAAGGACAAAAGAGGAAATCAAAGAACGAGGAAAAGGAAAAGAATGAGATAAGACGAAAGAGAGGCGGGGAAAAGACAGGCAGGCAGGCAGGCTATGGATGGATGGATGGGTTATGCATGGTTTATGGATCAGATTATGAGATGGACCGGAATGACAAGGAAATTGAGTCTGAGGATGGGATGGGATGGGATGGGATGGGATGGTATTGTATGGTATGGTATAGTGTGGAATTGATCGAAACCTCTAGCTGTAGGGTTGGGTCGGGTCAAACTTTTGGGTAAATTCGTGTGGAAGGAGGATGAGGATGAGGGGGATGAGGCATATTAGGTAGGAATATATTATATGTTTATCTACTTTGGTTATCTATTTATGTACTTGTATATATATAGTGATCTTGATATCTTGGCTAGTTGTTTTTGTTTTTGTTTAATTGGGGGTGGATAGAGTGATTCATTGGGATAGATAGATGGGTAGGTAGGTAGGTAGGGTATTTGTTTGAACTGGTATGAGATGAAATGATCTTAAGGGAAAATTTGAATGCGAATGAAAATGTAAGTGAAGAAAGGTTATGGGAAGTGGAATATAATATGAGATGATATGAAATGAAATGAATTTGAGGAAAAATGTGGATGAATAAAAAATGTAAATGAAAATGAAAGGGTTGTAGGATGAGAGAATAGAAGAAGAGGAAGAGGGGAGGGGGTTTGGAGTTTGATAAAAGGAAGGCGGGAAAGGGAGTATGGACGGAGATATAATGAAAGAAAACGGAGAGGGGGGGTATATAGAGTATTTGGGGAGAAGAGGATAAAAGAAAGAAAAGAAGTTAATGTTAGATTAAATGAGTAAATAAATAAATAGGCTATAGAATATAGGATATGGGATATATAAAAATTGAAAAAAGCTTTAAAGAAAGAACTCAAGAAGAAGGTATTATGAAATATAAATTCTAGATTGGATTTTGAATCTCCTTCCTCCCCCCCCCCTTCTTCCACACTTCTCCGCAAACCAAATCCAAATCCAAATCCAAATCCAAATCCAAATCCCCATCTAATACTGCTATTCGCAAACCCTCCACAACCATTTTTACGCCTCCTACATTTTGCCCAGTTCTAGGACTTTGAGGATTATGTTTTTCGTCTGTGTTGTTTAAACTCTTGGGGAAAAGGGGGGGAGGGTTAGTTGGTTAGTTGGGTGGGTTTGTGGAAAGAAAGGGGGGAAGAAAGATATACAAAACCCACCCCCAACAACAATAACAACAACGTAAATATAATACAGAGCTCTCGTCTACTTCATGCACTTCATCCCCCCCTTCCGATCCCTAAAACCCGCATTTTAAAAAATTGCACCACATCACGTCTCCCCACGCCCGCCTCCTATACACCCATCTACCTACTTTTCTATTCCCTATCCCAAATACAACACAATACCCATATCTCAGCCTCAGCCCCAGCCTAAACCCATCAAACAAGCTTCCCCTCCCTTCCCTTCCCTTTAGCATTCGCCCCCCACAAACCTCACAACCCAAAATCCAGCCCATCTTCCCCCTACCGCCTTCTAATCACTCACACCACCCAGCAACCAGCAGCGTTTCCTCCTCCGCAAACCTTTTTCATCTTCCTCTCCTTATACCCCTCCAACTCCCCCTATCCAACACCCTCACCCTCACCCTCACCCTCACCCTCACCCTCACCCTCACCCTCACCCTCACCCTCACCCTCACCCATATCCAAAATCCTCACCCTCAGCAGCGCCCACAAATCTGCCCATCTACCAATCTGTCGCGCTATCATCGTCATACCTAGGTAAGAACCTCATCTATCCATCCACCCATCCATCTAGATATCTTTAATAAACCTCAGGATTCTATAGAAAATCTAATACCTACCTACCTACCTACAAATAAACCTAAAAATAGACCTACAAATACAAATATGCAATGGGGCCGCAATAACAACAAGAAGTTCTAATTACCTACTAGGTAAATACCTACCTAGGTAACGACCATCTCCCCCCCACCCAAAAAACCGCATCAAATAAAAAAAATTGAGACGGAAAGTTTTTTCATTATATATAGATACATATATACCTAGGGAGGTAGGTAATTAACTATGAATATTGACCACCACCCAGCATCGACTTCGGTTTAGTTGACATGGGGACCGGGGGAGGAGGAGCATTATTTCCCGACCATTCCAACTTCTTAGGAGGCGGAGGAGGAGGAGCCGGTTTCTTTTTCCCCAGGATTGATTGTGCATTTAAGCCATTCAAACCACTCAAGCCATTTCCCACCAAACTAGATGAACTCCCCCTCTCCCTCCCATCATTCGAAGAATGAGCACCCCCATTTGAAACCCCCCCATACGCTCCCACTTTCTCCGCAATCCCATACTTCGTATTCAATTTATTCGCCGACGACACGCCCGATTTAACCTGTTCGCCATGTCTCTCTCGGAAATTATTGGCGGTGCTGGCGGCGGCTCGAGCTTCGGCGAGGGAGATCGACGTGGGATCTTTGTGGAATGCGGATGCGGTTTTGAGGGCCGCTTTCTTTTGCGCAAAGGTTGTTCCTTCGGATGGAGGAGGAGAGGGTTTGGGGGATGAGGTGGTGGTGGGGGAGGAGGATAATGAGGCAGAGGATGTGAGGCGGGAGAATCGTGATTGGAGTTCGTTTACTTGGGGCGAGGAGGTTCTGGGGGGTAATTGAGGGGAGGAGGTTCTGGAGGGTAGTTGTGGTGAAGATGGATGTGATTGACTAGTTGTTGAATATTGCGGTGAGGATGTTCTTGGTGGTGGTGGTGGTAATGCTGGTTTAGATCTTGTAGATCCAATACCAAATCCAGGTACTGATATACCTGCTGTTCCCAATCTACTTAAAGCCCCTTGATTCAATATCCCTCTATGTGGATCTTCTTCAGATGTAGCTGCACCATATGTAGGAGGTGGTGAAGGAGCCGATGATGACGGATTGGAATTTTGTCGTGGTGGTAATCTAGGTGGTAAACTAGGAGGTTTGGGTTTACCAGATATAGAAGCCGGAGCAGGCGGTGGTAATATTCTACCATCTGCACCATCTTTTCTTCCAGGTGGTGGTGGTAAATGTGCTACGGATAATCCCGTCGTATTCGCACGATATGGCATTGGTGGTGGTTTAGGTTTTAGAGCTTCTTCTTCTTCTCTTCTTCTTTCTTCTTCTTCTGCCTCTTGTTTGGCTCTAATCTCATCCTGTGGTATTGGAGCTCCCCACCCTCCTGTATTCGATGATGTTCTATTCGATGGATTGGTTGGAGGTGGGAGAACGGTTCCTCCATGATATTTGACACTTTTTGGTGGTGGACCGAATGATGAAGGATCTCTTAATGAGGATATGGGTACAGATTTATGTTCTAAAGCATCTTCTCTTGTTGTATCTTTACCTTTTCCCATCCTATTGAAGAATAATTAGCTCAAGAATTACAAATATACCAGAGGATTTTGAGGTCATTCATCTTCTTTGGAAAAGGGGATTAAACTTACCATCCCGCTACTTGATTAATTCCTTTAAAATCTCCTCTCCAACTTTCCTTGGATTTTCCATCTTTTCCTTTTGGATGCCATCCACCTTTCAAAGTATCTTTAAATCCCGACATGATGTTGTATAGAATATAAAATGATAATCTAAGGGTGATGTTTGATGGCGGGGAGTTATCGGTAGTCAACTACTAGGTCCATGTAATAAGGTTGTTCTGCTAGTTCCAAATGGTCATAGCCATTATAACCTTATAATTAATACCCGTCCAATAATATTTAGATGACAGAAATTTCTTATAGGAAGAGAATTGACACAATTAGGTACCGGTACAATTTATATTTTACATTGAAGCTATCAATTACAGATACATCAACATTTATTAGGTATTATCTTATAAGTTATTATCTCATGATCTCTTTATACATAATGAATACCTACCTACCTACCAATCGTAAAGCACAACGTTAAATCATCTTGCCACCATACGGAGTAAATACCATATATATATATACCTACCTACATCTAGATATTCCCGAAATTCCGAAAACATATCAGACCTCTGGATTCTACGCCACCATTCCCCGGCCTGCAATGAACCGGTTGAGCTAACCACCTAAGGTAGGTAGGTAGTAGGTAGGTGACCAATCTTACAGCAACGTAACACAACATCTAATCCTCCCTCACCATAAGCACATTATTCCCCTCAGCAAACGACACGCATAAATCCCCATTCCCCCTCCTCAAACCCAACAAACCCAACAAACCTACCTAGCATCAGCTAGGCCCAGTGGCCTAATGGCTAAGGCGCCAGATTTCGGTACTGACTGCAGACTGAAAATTCTCTGGAGATTGGGAGTTCGAATCTTCCCTGGGTCGCTTGGTATATTTTTATTTTTTAAAGTAGTAATAAAGTAAGGAAAGGAGTCAAGTTTGTAATATTTGTGGATTTTGGGTTTTATTCCTTTTCTTTGGGTTTCTTGGTTGTGTTATTGTATTGGATTGTGTTTATTGTATTGGATTGTATTTGTTGAGTTGGGTGAAAGAGTGGACGAATCGTTTTTGTGTAACGCGAGATTACAAAGGATTCATTCATTCACCGCATGTTGCTTTTTCTCTTTTGGTTTGTGGGCTTTTCATTCATCAGATGATCGATCATGTTCAGTAGGTTGGTTGTACCTAGGTAGATAGTTGAAGTCAATCTATTTGGAGGGTTTTAAGGAATCCTATCTACCTGGAGTATATCTCAAAAATTCATCGTCGAATCGTGTGGCACATACTTTTGTATATCAAGATGATGATTATATATTGATTTGATACGTCTCCGAAATCGCCATAGATTCTTTGTTGCCTGCCTAGGTACCTACCTAGTAATATATGTAAAGGTTCATCTTAACTAGAAGATTGTCCCTCGGATAATACATCAGACGGTAGAATCTAACAACAAGAACTTCCAAGATTAATAAAGCAGGAATATAACTACCTATTGCGAGAAGTTGTTCTAGCAATGAAATCATTTTTCTTCCCAACCGAATGATCTTGGGTTGGGAAACAGCGCTAGTATCTTGATCTCAGTCTCGGGGTCCTAAGTAATTCCGACTCCACCAATCTAATAAACAAACATTCACATTCACTTCCCCTCCTCCCATAAAATAAATATCCCAAAAGTGCTCCCCTCAGCATCAATCAACAAGGTCGCATGGCCGAGTTGGTAAATCGATGTACCATATATATTATATAAAACTTACCTGGCTCGAGCCTTGTATATCCGCATGTCTTGGGCATGTGAAATGGGGAGAAGCGCGCGTTTAAAGCCCCATGATGAGATGCGGGAGGGGGTTGGCATCTTTTTGCTTCTCTTGTAACATCCGTGGGGATTTTTTTGGTGAGGTTTTTGTCTATTGGATTTTTTTGATTTGCTGGTTGTGTGTGTGTGATATCTTCTGACTCTGTTGTTGGTGTCGTTGTTTGTTTGTATTTTTGGGGGGGATGAAAAGAGTGGGGAATGGGAGCGAGGGGAAGCGAGATTGTGGATTGGTAGAGATGAGATGAGAGACTGTTGATGTATTTCACGAATATGGCTACAAGATTGGGATGCTTGGCTATGGTATTGTAGGATCAATGTTGAACGTATGGATACTGCACATCACTTTTTTCATTCTTACTGCACGCCACGGGGAGTTATTTTGTTTGTTATTGGATATTGACTGTACTTACAATCAATCGTCTATTTTTGTACATTGATACTTCTTCATAGAATTCTAAAGGTAATCAAACTAGATGAGCTCACTTTTTCCCTCTACCTAGCCATTGATAATACAGAAATGGCTTAAGGAATATTGGCCACTTCGGTTTCGCCACATCTTGAAAAGCCGTAGTCTTCACTAACAGCACCTTATAATATCATACATACCAAGCTGTTTCTCAAGGATCAGACAAAGATCCCAAGAAATTTGCGTAATATTATCCCATGTCCTCCATGTATTCATATCGAATGTAAAGTAACATTGGAAAAGCTCGTTCCTGGATAACTTCAAGACTTCTTTCTGTATATCATGTTCTACTGTAGTCTCATCAGCATCCAGTGACTTCTATCTATTTGTACACATCTTCACTTGCTACGAAAATGAGACGTGGAACCGGAATCTCCTGGCATGATTCATGTTTCCAATAGGAAATAGGTTGATAAATTGTCCTGATATTCTCAACCTCCAACATCCATCCTCTATGGTGGGCGACAGGTTGACGCTTCAGTGTCTATTATTGAACATGATTATACGTTGAATATCTGATCTGCGTTCAGATGCATGAGATGCATTCGAGTGATCTGTGCCATGAGTTCAGAAATTGGTCTAGGTATGATTCCAACTCTTTTCGTCGTTGTAAGTTAGTATTCTTTGGGGTATGCTGGACGTAACTCACCGCTGCTTCTTCTTTACAAATGCCGTGAAACTATATATTCCACGTAACCCGAGTGCAACTCTCAGAGCAAAAGGGAAAACACTCAAGCCCAATTCGGAGGTTGCCATGAGGATTTCTCGAGTAAAGCCTTGATTAAGATTCTCTGTGCCTTTCCCCAAAAAATAAGATACAAATACGCGACAAACCACCTCATGAATACACGCCACCCAACTTCAAGTACACTTCCAAGAACCCATGTAGTTGTAATACCAAAGCAAATCGAGGACCAGAAAGCAACAGGAGACCAAGCAAAATGCAAGAACAGAAACCAACCAGGAGAAATTTCTCTAGATACTTCTCAAGCCACCAATCATGCGCGCAACGTGTCTTTCACAATCATCTACGAGAAATTCAGACGAAGAAGTATCATCTTCACACGATCTTCTAAAACTTCATTTCTAGCCTCCGCATACCGAATCGAGAACCACGAAAAGAAAACTAGTAGGTTTAACTTATTAGGAGTGATTTTTATAACCATTGAAAATGCCCTTCTACAAGAAGCCGGCTGGAAATGCATCGGGCATGAAGACTGCGCACATTGCAAATAATAATGCAATCATGCTTCCAAGATTGGAACTGAAAGTAAGTCGATGAACCCAACTGGTTGACCTGATGGGCTTTGATGATAGCTATCGCATCATTGATATTGTGATACTGAACTTTGATTACAGTATCTTTGCTGGTAAATTTTACGTTTAGCTCACATATCAGGAATATATATTAGAATTGGATTTGATTTTGCTGGTAAATTTTACGTTTAGCTCACATATCAGGAATATATATTAGAATTGGATTTGATTTTGCTGGTAAATTTTACGTTTAGCTCACATATCAGGAATATATATTAGAATTTGATTTGATTTTGAAATATTTGTTTTATTATTTATTATCATAATCTTGAAAAGAAAAAAAAAGAAAATGTATATTACCTATCCTAACTTGTTAACAAAAAGTTGACAAAAAATGGGGAAGGAAAGAACTTATCTTTATAGTGTATTAGTAGTGTATATTGCATCTCTATTCTGATGAGCATGTTGTAACAGAATAAAAGAGAGCCGTAAAGAAATTGAAATGAACTTATCTGTAAAGAATCGTTAATTGAAAGAACTTGTCTGTATAGCTATCATAGATATCTCTTCTCTCATTATACTAATAAAAGTATTAGAGCATAGCTATAGACAAGTGTATAATGGAAAAGAAGATAAACTTACTAAACTTACCTATATACATCCGATTAACAAAAGGGGGGTGGGGAGAACCTATTAGTCTTTTAGGTTTCCTCTAATAAACGTAAATATTAGGAACAGAAGAAAATATCATGATAAAAGGACAAGAAAATCTAATCATACTCGATTAGCAAAAAAGGGCGGGGAGAACTTACATATCTTTAGTGTATGAAGATTCTAAGGAGTAACCTAGGGAGTAACCCTACCTTAATCTTAGAATCAAGCAGGTTAAAATAATATAAAAAAAGTATACTATACCTAATAAAACCGGTTAACGAAAAGGGAAGAGGAATAACTTACCTGGTACCCATCTATTATGCTCTTTTTATAATCCATCTTTAGTGTATGTGGATTCTAAAGAGTGCATACTAATCCTTGAATCAATCAGGTTAAAATAGTATACTGTATACCTATAAAACCGGTTAATGAAAAGGGAAGAAGAATAAACTTACTAGTTACCTTACCCACCTGTATTTATCATGCTTTTTGATACTAATCTTCTTAGGGGTAACCGGGTGGTGGTGGAATGACCTAGATTATAATCCGAATCCTGATAAATATATCTGGGATTAATAAACAAAGATTATAATAAATGATAATTTAGAACCCTATTATATCCGGTTAATAAAAAAGGGGGGGGGGAGAAGAAATGGACGACGTTTTTCTAGGACTTTTCAAAAAAGAAAAAAAAGAAAGAAAAAAGTGAAAATCAAAATAGCGAAAGGAGAGGGGGGGGGGAGGAGAAGGGAAATAAACATACCTAGGGATTTATTTCTAAGAAAAAATTGAAAAAATTTATAAAAGATTTCCTATATTCAATTAGCCAAAAGGAGAAGGGGAGGAGAATGAACATACCTGAAAAATACAAAAGAAAAAATGAACATATAAATATACTTATAAAAAGTCAGTAAAGTATTAGGGGGGAAGGGGATAAACTTATCTGGGGGGAAAAATAAGATGTTATTTTTTTAATATTGAGTTTCTCTGCTTTTCTAGCGAGAGTAAAGGATGATCTACACAAATAATATTAGCACTCAAGCACCAGAAGGAAAACTTACCTATTATATAGCTATCCTGTATACCATATCTTTTTCGGGGGGGGGTTTTCGAAGGATTTTCCGACTTTGTTTTTGCCTTTTCTGTGCCGATGTTTCGTTTCCCACATCCTTTCGTCTTGCTCACCCCGAGGCCTTTTTCTTCAAAAGCCAAGCCACTTCTTGATTCGAAACGCCAACTCGATGACGTATCGAATTCCGTATCCGCAAAGACCGAGCAAGACAAGTGCGAGCAAGAATCGTGCGCAAAGCGCGAAGAGGCGAAGGATTGGTGATGGCATCTCAAAGCGGTTGCGCCTGATAGGCCTGCAAAGGAATGAGAGAGGGATGAAGATCCCCTCGATGATGGTGTTGAGGATCCACTGCCAGTAGATGAGGAAAGTGATGATTCCCAAGAGAATCACGATCGAATGAATGAATGAATTCATGTCTGTTGTGTGTGTGTGTTCGTTTGTGTGCGATGAGGAGAGAAGGGAAACGATGAAGATGGAAATTCACAGAATTATATACTTTTCTCTCTAGTTATTCGAAATCTCTTCGATGAAAGGAACAACACAAAGGACATTGTTCTCAACAAAGGACAGTTTTCAAACAATGGCCTATTCATCCATCCAGCACAAAGAACTCCCTCGTCCAT